GGGTAATAACCAGTTTTACATCTTTCATAGTTCTCATGCAGCTCTAACCCAGACAGCATCAAGTATAGAGAGAATTCTTCCATGAATTACGAAGAAATGGGTCTTATCCTGGGGAAACTGAGATGAGACAAATTATGATAAGCTCCTCAAGGAAAGGAATCATTTCTTCCCTAGAGTTCCTAATAGTTCTCAAAACACAGTAGGTTTTCCAGATTAAAAAGCCCCACATTTCTTTTACTAGGGACACGCTATTTTCACACTGTAGTGCTAAGCCAGCTTCTTCAACCCTGAGTGAAAATTTGAAAGGTCTTATAATGCCTGTGGTTTGGGACCTTATAATTATGGCTGGGGCCATTAATCTTGTAGCCTACTTTTTTTTTATTCTATCTGAGATTGTGACTGAGTTTTTGTTTCAGATTGCTAGCCTGTAGCAGTCGGTTGGGGAGGTGAGCCACAGGGTTTCCCCTGGCACTCTAGTACACAAACTCTTCTGAGGTCTAGCCCTTGGAAGTCCCATCTTCTGTCCCCGCCCTTATTGATCTGCCCAGGAGATGGAGCTACATCTACATCAAGTTCTCACACTCAAAACAACCCACGTTAACACATAGGCACATTTCAAAAATGCCTTTGTGTGCCTGAGGAATGGAACTCGGATTTTAAAATTGATGGAGGTTATAGGAAGTGACCCAAAAGGCATTACAGTAAGTAATAAGCCCCAAAATGTCTTGCTCTAAAATGCTTTCATTAATTCACCTTTAAAGTTCATCCACAACAAGTGAAATTCAAGGATAATGGATTTATAATATATTTTGAAAACTCAATTCCATCAACAAGCTATTTCAATGGAGTTCCTCGTAGCTAGGCTACTCCACAGATCTGGAAGTTGAGTTGTTTTGATAGAAAAAAATATATATATAAATAACATATGAGTCGCTGCATATAAATTTATTATATTCTATTGCAACATGATTTAAATTCATTATCATTCCACTACTTGCTATTGTGCCTTAGCTCTTTATATTCCAAAGAAAATGCTTCGGTCTTGGAACTGACTGAAATACTAGTACTCTAGAGAGAAAAACACAAATTTTATTAGCTGGAATATTAAAGAGTTAATCATAACTTAGACATGCAAATTTTGCTTTTACCAGACATGGTTCTAAACAATTGATTTTTCCACAATATACTTAGGGGGTATTACTAATGTTCCCTATTACAGATGAGGAAGCCGAGGCTAGAGAAGTTTAATAATTTGCCTATGATCCTTCAATAAACGATTTAGCTGGGCTGGTAGTCCAGAAATACCATGCATCTAATTCAGATCAGCAGGCAGAAGACTAGAATGATCATGTGATACAAAGGTGAAGAGAGCACACCACGTAGATTTCAAATGTACACAGGAAGACAAATGCTAGATATGTCATGGGATGGTCATTCTATTGGGACAGTCAATTGATTGTAAGAAGTCCTTTGAATAATGAGCCAGGGCATTGTTGTGAAGGAAAGTAATTCATAGCTCAATTGTGCTGGTCTTCTTTCACACATATGATTTTTAATTGTCTGAATATTTCTTCGTATTATGATTGAGACCTTGTGATGATCATTCTATGTCCTTTGAATGTATCAAGATGTCCCCATTGGCATCCCAAGAGAGAGAGAATTGTCCTAACCTTTGGAACTGACCTCTGTCTCGAATTCATTGGCCCAGCAGGTCCCCTCAGAAGCCAGCGTTAGCATTGGAACTTGACTTCTTTTGGAAAGCACTCTAATGAGAGTAAGATAGAAGTACTGCTGAGACAATGTGTCTGTTGTCAACCACTGTCTGCAGACATATTAAAGACATTTTAATTAGAATAAATCTGTGAATGCATGAGCTGAAATACTAGTAGTCACACTTTTGGACTTACTCTTCTATGTGACAGAGCTTTCAATAAAATATTTGATAGTTTAAATTATTCATGGTAATGAAATTTAGAAATGAAGACTGAATGGTCTTCTAAGCATGTATTTTATTTCTTTCAAGATGCGTCACTGCATTTACCTAGTAGAGAATATGTCTTTGCTCTGAAAAATACATTTTGACAGATATTTCAAGTTGCTGCTTTAATGCTGTATTCTCCTTCCTGTGTACAGATTTTAAATGGCTTTTATAGAAAATATTTTTTGGAAAAAACCTATCTAGTTCAAAATCCTTGTTTAAGAAAGGGTGAGGCCAATAGGAGAATAGAAGTTGTTGATTAGGATAACTACTTTTAAGATGACTTTTCCTTTGTGAATGTTTTATTCAGGCTTTTCTGTTTCTTTTATATATTTCTTATACTTTAACAAGAACTTTTTAAGAGAAATGTCACTGCATAATTTTCTTTTCTTTTTTTCTCATCCCCTGCTTAGAAAGAGCACCTACAATTGCCAAAAAGAATCACCTCTAAACAGAACATAATTTGTTCTTATCCAGGAGCAAAGAATTAAATCCAAGTTGCATAGCACAATTTGCAACAGTCTGGGCATGCAAGGTTGCTAAGGGGTCAGCAAATTGATATCCTAATTTATCTCTTTCCAGCTCTCTATGGAGACATCAACTCCACTGGCCAGCCCTCCCATTTAGGTGGAAGCTTCTCCCCCAGTCCCATTCCAAGCCTTCAAGTAAAAGTAGCTCCATGTGCCAGAAAAGGAGAAGAAAACAAATGTGAAATGCCCCCCCCCCTTCGGTACAAATATGATGCAAAAAGGAATCACACTGCCAAGCAAGCCTTATAAACATGTCTCTTTCACTCTGAGCATGCTCCAGGAGATGAGGAATCTGAGAAAAAGGCTGGGGGAATGGAGTGCTTTGGAGTCTAGTGATTCTGAAATTAGGTTCTCATTGTTCTCACTAGCAAATGAGGACGGTCCTGCAAATAACGATGACATGCATGAACGGCGGCAGAGCAAGACACAGAGACACCATCATTTTTACCTGTAATGGCGAAAACAAGAAATGAGGAAAAATAGAAGAGGATCATTCTGAATGGCCTAAATGTACTTTTAATTCAATTTTACAAAGTTTCTTTATACATCAAATGTACAATCGTGGCTTATGACACCAAAAAAAATCAACAATGGATGCAATGTAAACATTTTTACATTAATTGGATAGTTATTATTTAAGTCAATATATGATTTTCATATAATAAAGGTGAAGCTCTTAATTTGTGAAAATTATATTCATTTTTTATTATCTTACCATTTCAATCTATGTACTTTAACCTTTGAAACTTGGAATTCTTTGTAAATTTCCACATATCAGGATGACATAATGAAATCCTCCTTAAAGCCAAATGCACTGCGGTGACTCCACTTTGACTCACTGCAACTGCACGCAGGGTTTCTGACACTGTCCATCCTGATGGGAAAAGACCCTTCCATCTTTCTCCCAGGGTGGCTGTTTTGTCTGGATGGCCAACCTGTGGTCAAGAGTCCAACATTGACTAGACTACATAACCAGGGTTCCTCTCTTAAAATGTTCTGTGGGTAAAAGTGGGGGAGATTCCCAGATGTCTGACTGCTAATCCCTTTTTACTAATATTCTCACCTTTGTACACTGTGGCTCTCAAACTGCCAACCTTAAAATGGATTCACAGCAAGGTTAGTGTTTTCTTATAGTCACTATTATAGGGAAGACACAATCTGGCATACTTTTTGAGAAGACAAAGAATAAGGAATGGAAAAGCCATTAAGTTGTAAAATTTCACCATCTCTACCAATGCCAGGAATGACAACGTTATAGAAAAGTGGATTGCTTGGCCACCCTCAGTTCTGTCACAACAGTGTGAAAGCATTTCTTATAATATTATTGAATATTAGTTAAGTAACGATGCAGGCATTTTAAATGACACAGCATGTATTTTGGCAAAAAGGCTCATTGAAAAAATACATTAAATCATAAAAATAGTGGTATTTGCCTGTGTGGATATATTTATAAGGGAAACACTGAGGTAGTGAACTGACTTTGAGCCTCTGCTCAAGCCCTGACTCAATGCAAGAACACTTTGTTCTAACAACCTGGAATTCTGTGATGCTCACCCTCCAGACACAATCATTGAAACCAATATGGGTGCACAAGCAAATGTGGCGAAGAAAGAGGAGGGTGCCCGGCTATCAAAATATATGATGTCTGGGGTCTTAATGGCTTGAAGTTAAAAAAGTGACCCTCTAGCAGAGAAGCAACAAGCCCACAGAGAAGAAGCACACCAGCCTGTGCAATCATGAGTGTTGATGGGACCAGGTAACAGGCATTAGAAGACCCAAAACAAACAAAATATTGTTGAGAATGAGGGAGGCTCAGAGCAGAGACCTAAAACCCATCTGTAGAAAATGGGACATTCCCTCACAAAAGAGTCAATAAGGAAGGGATGAGTTAACCAGGGTACAGTATTGCACCAATGAAACACAGTATTCCTCTGGTTCCTTGAGGCTTCCTCACTCCCCACTGTCATGACTTCAGTCCTGCCTTTCACTGCAGACTAGACCGAAGCATGTACACAGGTACAGATAAGAGATAAGACCTCACAACACAAGGAATCCAAGAACAGGAATGGGAGTTGCAATACCAGGAGGGTAGTGGGAAGTTGGGAAGAGGAGAGGAAGAAGTCTGAACTGATCACAATGATTGACACCCCACACACCCCCACAGGGGCACTAACAACAGAAACTGTGGGGGAAGGGAGACAGCAGTTGGTGTAAGATAGGACCCCCTTCGGAGAGGGGGTCCAGTATTCTCTAACCCATGCGCCGCTGAAGGAAGCACGGGGCAATTGGTAAGTGGTGCAGGCACCCAACTCCCACTATCACTGCAGTCCTTCAGGTTGCTGAGAACACCTGTAACAGGTGCTGGGGTAGAGATGGGAGTCGCCGAGCTTGGTGGGCTGGGTGCTGGGTTGGCTTTGCTCTCTCTAGGGTGAGGTCTGCAAGCTGGGAGCCCATTCACACAGAGACGAGGTGGGGCAGCCCAAGGTACAGGCCACTACTTCGTATTCCGGGGCTTTAACTCTTCAGCTGCGTTACGCAGGAAAATGTAGTTCTTCTTCTGGGGGTTATGAAATTCATGTCCCTTGGACCAGTCGTAGCTAGACGAGTAAGCAAATATGTTTCCGTTGTGGTTGAAGCAGCAGGCTGAGATGGGCTGGTCCAACTGCTCCGAAGTCTTTAGTTTAGTTCTGGCATCTTTGTCCCAAAAGCTGAACCTGCCGTCAGAGCCTACCGTGGCCAGAGTGCCGTGGACGGGGTGGACGGCAATTCCTTTGACCGCGCAGATGTCCTGAGCGGCTGAAGTGTTGGTTCCATTGGATGGGTGGCATTTGAAGGTAAAGTTATCTTTGGCAGGATTTGGGGGGTTGATGTAGTGAATAGCAACTCTGCCCTCAATGCTCCCCAAAGCAAAACCAGTCGGCTTGTTTTTTTTGTCTTTAAAGATGGCCACACGCGGATGCTGATGCTTCAGCGGTGACTCCATCCTGCGGAATTCTGAGGGCTGGTTCTCCAACGGGTAGACGATCAGGCCCCTCTCGGCTGTCGCCACCACGGCCATAGGGTATATCACGTCAGCACAGTAGCACCGCTCAGGGAGCTGCAACACCATCAAAGGATTTGATGACCGCGTGTCCCAAAACTGTAAGGTCTTGCCCCAGCTCCCGGTCATCACACAGCTGTAGTTTGGTCCAGTGTACGGTCTTAACGGGAACAACATGCTGTGCAATCTGGATCGCCTGGTTACTGTTGAGGCCCCACATTTTGGCAGTTTTATCGCACGAGGCTGTGAATGCTTTGCTCCCATCATCACTCCAGCAAACATCAAGCACGGGCCCAGTGTGCATCTGCTGGGCTTTGGGGATCCTCTGTCCGCTGTCCTGAACTTCCCAGCAGCCGCCATCATTCGCCCAGGATCCTGCAATAAGGAAGTTCCCTGGCAAGGTTGGTGGACTAAAAGACAGGCAACCAATGCTGTCATCGGGAGAAGATGTCACTTCAATATCCTTCATAGGATTGTGGTTGTCTGTGGTTGTACTGCCAAACCTGCTGGTCCCACCCATTCCAAAGCCCGACTCTTTAACTTATCAAAGAGTCACAAGGGGTGTGGGAGGAGCTCATACCAAGGGTACAAATTGAAAGTCAATATTTAGAAAATAATGATGGCAACATATGTATAAATATGCTTGATACAATTGATGTATGGATTGTTATAAGAGCTGTAAGAGCCCCCAATAAAATGATCTTTTAATTTAAAAAAAAGAAAAAGAAAAAGAATGACACTGGTGGGAAGGGCTTAAAACTTTTCTTGGCTGTTATTCTTAAGAGCTAGCTGGAGGTCAGTATTATACAAACGCCCCCTTCATAGAACTCTTTATTTCATACAAAAATGCGTTAGAAAATTGCTTTATACAAAGTTTTCTCCACTTTTAGTAAGTGGAAATTAAAAGTAAAAACTAGCATTAAAAAAAGACTCATTAAACTTATTTTAAAATAAGTTTCTGAGAGAAAATAAAAAGTGAAATTTATTCCAAATGGGCAATTGGAACCCCAGGGACAGGGAGAGAGTGAGTCTTCTGACTACATGTTATCAATTGCCTGACTTCAGAGAGACTCAAAAGAGGGCCTTTAATTTAACCTTACAGAACGTAAACACAAACTAGAGGAAAGGTCTATAAGTACCTGTATACCTTAGCTTCGGAATGACATAAGCACCCAAAGCATCGTTGCTTATTGTTATCCTTGGAATTAATAGCATAAAAATTCCACATAACGGAGTGCTACAGATTTTCTAAACTACACTCAAGTATTGGACAGTTCACTCATTGTCTATCCATTTGGAAGCAGCATATTTCTGAAATGTAGGCATCATAGAGCTTGCTGATCTTTAAAGAGGGGACACTAAAGCAAAACAAACCCATTGCTTTTGCCTCCATCTTGACTTACAAGGCCATGTGGGGCAGAACAGCACAGTCTCCTAGGGTTTCCAAAGTTATCAGTCGTTAAGCCAGCCAATGGCCACATCTTTACCCTGAGGAATTGCTGGTAGGTTCAAACCACAGACCTATTAGTTGGCAGATGAGTGCTTAACAACTTGCACTACTAGGGCTGCTGCTGAGCATTTTACCAACATAGGCGTCTCATCTGTGGCCATTTCTACTGGCATCTGTCTCTGCAATCAGCTAGAGAAATGGAAGACAGGCAGCTTCCCATTCTTAACCCACCCTGCATGCAGAAGGTCTGGCAGGATTCTGATGTCTACTCAATTGGGAGATAGTCATCTAGTGACCACTGCAACAATGGACAGTGTCCTTCTACGACATTAGACCACGCTGCACAACAAAGAATTCATGCTTTCCAGATGTTTGCAAACATGTGATTAGAATAATCACACCTGAAAACAAACAAACCAAAACACCCCAAAACTGCCAGGTGCAAACAAGCCAAAAGTTAAGCTTTAAAATAAATTCTCTTAACTGCACAATCGGATCGCTGAAGAAATCTTATCATTGGCTTTTTATTTTTCTACACTAATGATCTGCTATGCTCTCATTGACTCAGTTCTTATAAGGCTATTCCCATTATTTCAATGTCTATGGTGACAGGCGTCACTAAGGTGCTCCAGGTGAATAAAACAGTATTTACCACGTTTGTTTTTTCTCTTTGAAATTCAGTATACTGAACAAACTCTATTTGACTTAAATATGCAAAAATATTAGAATGTGAGATAAGTTCTGATGGCAATTTGCATAACAGAGACGACATCTGGCCCTCCTTAGCCTAGTAAACTTTGGAACAGGCTAGTACAACAAATACAGGTTGGAAAACACTTCTTGGTTAAAAATATTCCCAAGGTAAATCTTTAAATGAGTAGTATCATTTAACAGTTGACATGTCAATCCTTCCCTTCACTGTTTCAATTATAACCCAAAGGTATAGTCAATAAAAGCTCTTGAAAAGGTTTTGCTATTTTGCAATAAGATTTATTCTGCAAGACATATATACATGATTTTTTTCATGTTTAATAAAATATTGCTTAAAAGCCAACTATTTTGTAATTATTTATGTCAAAATAATATAATTTATAGGATTTCATTATTAATCTAATTAATATTTGTTTTTAAAATGAATGTAAAATAAATAAATATATTGTATATATGCAGATATGTGTACAAATAAATGTATATGCACATATAAATGAGGGGCTTCAAAAAGTTTTGGTATAATTCCATAATATTTTAATTCTATTCTTGCACAAACTCTTTGAAGCCCCCATACACACACACACACACACACAAATTCACAACAGAACAAAAGTTGAGCCATTCATTGAGTCAATTTCAAATTATAAAAACCCTATATAAACAAGGGGGTATCAAAAAGTTTGTTGGAAAATTCCATTACCTTTCAGTTTCATTTTCAATGATTATTTTAGGTTCCCTTGCTCATATACATTGAACTACACATACACATGAAATAGATACTGTAAATTAAAAGTATATATCTGTCATCATATCTGAAAAAATTAAAAGTGAATCATTTACATTTCTGTAGTTTGTAACTTTTACTTCACATCAGTGATTTCATATAACAATGATAAATATGAGAAAATACCCTTATTTTTGTGCTCAGCTTTTACATTTGTTAATCTTTTATGTTAGTAAGTATGATCCTTCTTGTACGGACCTGTTTCCAGAGAGCAGAAATGAGGACTGAAACCTGCGCTTCAAGAAACTTTTAGTTTAAAGATAACCAAGTTACTGGCTTCCGTTCTGACCATTTTGAGGTTAAACAAAAAATACATATGCATTTAAAGTAATTATGGAGACGGGTCTGTGGGATTTACCAGAAAGTCCCAAATAAAGATAACAGTCCAGCGATTGCTTCAGTGTTCTATGCAATAACTGAATCTTGAAGTAGAGTAATTGTAATAAGAATCAAGAAATGCTAAGGAACAGGCAAAATCAAACTTAGTTATTAACTCAATGCAAAGAACCAAAGAGAAAACGAAGTCAGGGATGAGATTAATTTTTAAAATTGGGTGATGAATTGGTTGGTGGTCTGGCAACCCCCAGCACAGAGGTTGTTTGTAAAACTACAGGTTGCCTGCGATCACCCATCAGGTAAATCAAGAGAAATCAGAAATCAGGGCCCTGAGGATGCAATGGCTATGCATGGGGCTGCTAACCACAAGGTCAGTACTGTAGTTTGAAACCACCAGCGACCCCAAGTGGGAAAAATGAGAAGTGTCACTCCCATAAAGAGTATGGTTCTGGAAGCTCCAAGGGGCAGGGGCAGTTCTACTCTGCCCTCCAGTGTTACTGGAGTCAGAATTGACTCAATGGCGGTGAAGTTTTGTTTTTTGTGTTTTTTAAATGTTTATTTGTTTATTACAACTGTGTTGTAGTCAAGAATCCTTTGAAAGTACAAATGGTTGACGTGCTTGGCTGGCAATTGAAAGGTGGTTGCTTTTGTGCACTCAAAGGTGCCTCCAGAGAAAGTTCTGCGATGTCGCTTTTAAACATTTAGCCCTGGAAGGCTGCGGGGAGCAAAGTTATACAGTGAGGACACGTAAGGGGCCACCGGGAGTCTGAACGGACTCCGTGTCAACTGGTTGGTTTGGGTCTGAAATAGTCAATATACATAATATATCAGTAAGAACCATGGAAAGAATAAAATGCTGATAAGCAATTGGGATTTAATTTGTAAAGGGCCATTGGCTACAACTCAGCATGTTTAAGTTTTGCACGTACAATTATTTGCATGCAGGGGGGAAAAAAAAGCATCCACAGTTGCCTAATTGTAGGCAGAACCATCCAAATTTATCCTCAAAAGCGAGAGGACAAAGGGATGCCATCTGCGGAAGTGTAACAACCCCTCCATGCTTTCCTGCCCCAGGTCCTGGGAGGCTGGTGGCCATAGCTCCCTCTTGGCTCTATCTCAGACTTTATTCTTATTTGCTTCCATACAAGTATTTCAGGCTCATCTGTCTGATGCTCAAAGAGACAGCAGGCCTTTCCTCCCACCCAATCAATATGCTCTTTTATCCTCAATATAAGTGTACTATATTATGAAAATCTGAAAATATATGGCACTTCTGAAACATATCATTTTCCCCCATTAGTGTGAGCATATTCTTTATTCATTCCAATGTAGTTTTACAAGGTTGGCAACTTGAACCCCACAACGATGAAATCTCATACAAATTTCATGAAAATTATGTTATTCTACTTAACAAAAAAGGTTAGCCATTTATTAACAATCTGGCTGTCAGTTTTCATAAAATGTATTCACTTTTCTTCATTATATTATTAGGGCCATCATAAATTTAATAATTGTCCCTTGGAATATGATTTCCTACAGAAGCATTATAACACAACACAATCAGTATTACAGCAAATAATTATTGAGCTATACGAAGACAGTATGATTTCCAATGGGAATTACATAATAGATGAGAGACATAAAACCAGATTAAGACTTGATAAAGATCCTGGATTCATGCAAATGTCAGTAATAATAAATGTGAGGACAACATAGCTTGCTTTATTAAAATGAAACAAAATATTTTTCAACAGTTTTGATAGTAGTTTAAATATTATGTCCTTGTCATTTAATAACTTTAGACACTAGGGACATGGTAATTCCTCGGAGGTAGAAACAGTATAACCTACACAAACAGGTACTTGGGTACTTTGTTAGGCTAATGACTAAAATGAAACATACCTATATTTCTTCTATATGAAATCAGAAGGACCACATATCTCGACTCTATTTATAGTGTTTGAGATTGTAATAAGGTTACCATGAAGATTTTTAGAGAAAGTAAAAAATTAAGAACGTGATATATAAACTCATTTACATGATCAATTTTTTTTATTCTTAAAATCTTACACTGAAAAGGGCAGTTCATTTCTGTTACTAAGTTTGCCAGTGGTGTACAAGCTATAAAAGGCTGAAACACTAGGTGCACACCGGCCTTTGGGTTATAGACCATGCAGAACACCTAAAAATCTACTCTTTTTTTTTTTAGATAAAAATATACAGATGAGGCACAGGAAAGCAAATCCAATTGGTAATGAGGATCTGTCCACATGGATCTCCAGAGAGCATCCCGGAGAATGGGAGAGACACTGAAACCCAGGTTTCCCGGGAATGCACAGAAAGAGCATTGCACTACAGCCAATGTCCAGAATCCACATCAAACTTCAAGCCCGCTAAACTGGGAGTAAAGAAACACATTGGTTAAGGCCCCCACTTGGGGCATTTCTGTCACAGAAACATGAAAGAACTAGTGCACAGGATAAAACAATTTGGGTCAAGCAGATATCATTCTTTAGGAGCAAAATAGAGGCCAGGATTATTTTTTTACTCGGTGTATAGAATTGAACAGTTTGAAAGATGTAATCAAAGTTGAAAATACTATCAATTGGAATTGCAAGTATCAATTGCTCATTTCTATCAAGTATAGGAAGCGGTTTTCACCACTGAAATGGATCGTGGTACTCACATCCATTGCTACCATTTGTTGACACCAGAGTCAAGTTGGAAGGCCACGGATTCCGAACAATATCTTGCCAATGAATTGTGTCAGCATAGCAAAGGAATTTGTTCTGGTCGACATAGACTCCACCATGCAGGATTTCTGTATGAAAAAGAGAGAGGCAGAGATTTCCTTTCAGACAGCTTAGTGTTGAGTGGGTAGGTTAAAACAATGGCCACATCAGACTATTTTAAACAGCATTAAATGGGACTCATGTTGGTAAACGTTAATTTTTAAGGATTTATATACATGAATTACAGAAGCAAAATAAAGTCAAAATGATGAAAATGTTACGAGTACTTTTCTCTGAGTCAGAATTGAGAGTTGTTGTTTTTCTTTATTTTTCAGATTTTCCAAATGAAATAATATGCATGTTATATTGTATAACTTGCTATTTTTAATTAATATTATGTAATGAATATTTAATGGTAACTGGTTTTCTACGTTGAATACTCATTATATAATAATGATAAAAAATATAAAGCTACAAAATAGTACATGCATATTATATAATTAAAGAAAAGAAAACATTTTTGTAATATTGTAATATTGACTGGAGTGAATATATACATAATTATCACAGAGTGAATGGTAAAATTAATGCCTCATTGAGAAAAATGGTCTTTGACATCTCAAATATAGTCAATAGAATCATTCATTATTCTTTAAATTAAAATAATGCAAGATATAATTTTTAAATTATAATTCATTGAAACAAGAGTACGGTTGTGTGTTAAAATGAAAGCCAGTGTTTACTTGATTGTTTTTATCACATCTTTCTTCTTGGTTAACTAAACTGTTCCCCATGAAAAATGGCTGACCACATACATGCAATCTCCAGAGGGTATTAAATTACAGACAAAAAAAGTGGGATGTGTACTCTGAAATTATTACATTTATTATTGGAAGATACTAACATATACATAGGAATTTCTGTTTAATATCTACTACATTTTCCCCCCTTTTAATCAATAAAAAGACTGTGAAAAGGATGGAACGTACTATTAATAGTTGTTAAGTAACAGGAGCTTAGTTTTTTCCCTCATAACAAGAAATCAATAAGGAAGCAGGTGCAGATTTTATTTAAATTGCTCTGCCATTTTCAGTTTATTGGTTTTCCCCATTATAGGCATTTGAACCTAAAGGCATCAGTTCTAGATTGAGGCAAAAATAAGGCAGAAAAGCCAAAGGATTTCTTCCTAGGTAGTCTTTACTTTTCTATTTGGGTTGAAACGGTCTCACTCAAGCATATGCCTACATTTGGTTGGCCAGAAGAATCACCTGGCCACTTCTACTGCAAGAGAGACTAAGTAAGCACTAGTTTAAGGGGACATTTGGTACCCCAAGTTCCATTCAGACCAGTGTAATGTTGGTGAGGAACAGAAGGGAAGAAAACTGGCAGTGTCTGCAATCATCGTCTTAAGACCATATTCCCTCCTGTGTAACACGCTCTGTTGTTGAGATGTTTCTGACCCATAGCTGCCCTACAAGAGGGGTTTGCGGCAGCAAGCTGTCTCATCTTATTGCCCTAGAGTGTCTGCTGTGTTTGAATGGCTAACCTGTCGGTTAGTGGCCCAAGACTTTACCCATTGCACCACTAGGGCTTCTTAATTTGAACATAACAACAACAACAAAAACCCTTTGCTCTCTATTGACTTTTAATTCGTAACAACCTTATAGTGTAGTGTAGAACTGCTTCCTAGGGTTTTCACTGCTGTACTTATTTAAGGAAGAATATCGCATCTTTCTTCCCCAGGGTGCTGGTGAGTTGGAATAGTGGGCATCTGCATTAGCTTAGTCTAGATCCCAATTTAAACCAAACAACAACAAATCTACTCCCAACAGATTAATTCCAGTCAAAGCAAACTTCTGTAGGATTTCCGAGATCATACATTCAGTGGGCCTCATTTTTCTCCTCCGGGAGCACCAGATAGGTTTGAACCATTGACCTTGTGATTTCGTAGGAAAACACTTCTCCCCCAGGGCCACTAGGGCTCTTTCTTGTAACAAAGGTGAAAGATAAGAAGTGGTGGCATGTGACATCATTAAAGGGGTATTTGAGGGAGGAAGATTGGTGGACACCCCCTAAATGCCTTAATTGGTTACATGTGCAAAATCTTCTGTATTATCTTTCAGTAGTTCAGGACTTGACACATTTAAAATCAGCCTCCTTCTATCATTCATCCTCACATTGTCTTTTAGTTTCTTTTTTTTTTTAGGTGAGGGGGGAAAAAAAAGAAATGAGATCATCTTTCTACTTCTAAAATCAAGTTCAGTATTTTTCATGACCTAACTACACAGCCTTTATCAAAGCAGAAGGGGAATGTAAGACGTAAGAAAGATTGTGAAATGGATTTCCACATTAATGTTTCTATCTAAGAAATGCGAACATTTCTTACTAATAGCATTCTCAGGAGACATTAGCTGATGCTCTTCTGTTCTACGAATAATTCCTCATTAGGTGACAGAGAAAGGAGATTTTGACTGCTAGCCAGGAAATGAAGGTTATTTTTCAGTCTACATTTGGAAAAGTAATACTTTTAAAATATGTGAAAAGAAAAGGTAATTGCTCAAAAATTGTAGAAACAGTCTGTATTTTTCAGGAGTCACATTTTAATTCAAATCCTTCACATTGGAGGAACACAATATCTATCTCCAACTTCCTATCTAAAGATATGCTAAATGAACCAGATTATATTGTACTGAATAACATTCTCATCAAATCCCCTTTTTTTCAACAATTTTAATCTGCTACCAATGCAGAGACATTTGTTTCTTGGAAATATCCTGTTCAAGAGCTTTGACTTATACTTGGAAAAGAGACTTAGAGAAGATTCAATGATTGTTTAAATATAATCTTCCATGGCAATATTTCAAATTGAGGTGAAAAGCCCATCGCTTGGTATGATAAAATTCATAACCCAGCATCTGTTAGCAATTCTGGTTAGGAGGATTAATAACTGTTCAGTATTTCATTATGGAGAGATTATTTGTGTATTTGAATGTGTTTCGCTAGAAACACATTGTCCTTTTCCTTAATCTTTGACCTAAACTCCATGAGATCCTGCTACTGAATGATAAAACACCACAGTTATAAAATGGATATTACAAACTTTCTCTTATGTTTTCTTTGGAGTAGCTTGCTTTCCTCCATAGTTTGTAGATAATGATTTTCAGTTACTTATCTTTTGTTTTTTACATCTCTATTGATTTCCTCTAACTTTATAAATTATTTAAAATAATAATTTTTTAGGTTTTGGTGAAGAAATATTTATTTAGTTTTATTTTTGTTCTCAAGATGAAATTTACTCAGTAGACCAAGGGCTACCTAATAATTCTTTTCTCCCTGACACTAGAAGCTTAGATACAGTTTTAGCTTATAAAGAAGGGCGAAACACTGAGAGAGAAAAGAATTGTGGTGAGACATTTCTCCCAGTAAATACCAGAAAACTCTCTGGCTATTCTTTCGGTCAATGTTTGCTAACACCCAGGAAGAGCACAGCTCACCACACATAAGTCTCACTAAAGATTTATGAATGAAAGCTGCCATATATTTCACACCAAGAGTATTCTCTTACGTGCATGAATTACAGTGATTAAAAATTAAATTCAAGATACAAAAGATAATTTCTAAGCCTAAACCAGATTAGCAAATGAGTTACACATTTCATTGGCCTCCAAACAAAAATGCGTAAGGCCTGGGATATAACAGACCCTCAGTGTGGTCCTCACCTAATCTGGTATCAATTTAAGGGGTGGAGTCTAGGCTGTCAATCTGGAGATAGCCAATGAGACTTCTGTGGGCATGGCCTTCTCCTGAGAATTCTGGGAAATCTGGGACTTCCTTCTTGGAGGCAGAAGACACCCCTCTCTCTCTCTGCTGCTCCCTGGGAGACATTGCAGAAGCCACATGGACACAACCAGACCTTGGAAGCCGGAGAAGCCACAGAGAGACCCCTGACAGCACTGAGATGTTTCAATGCCACTGGATCCAAAGACTTTGTACCCACTGGCCTGTGATCGTCCTGCATTCGGCTTCATTGCATGTGTTTCGTGAGTCTGAAGAGGACTTTATACATTGGTATTGAAGATATGGGCTAATATCGGACTTATGGACTTGATCTGGACTGGGCTGGGATGTTTTTTCAATGTTCAATTGCTCTTGTATATAAATCTCTTTTTTATACACATGTGTGTCCGTGGATTTGTTTCTCTAGTCTACCCAGACTAACACACTCAGAATTGTTGAATAAGTAAATGAACTCAACGAAATCTCATGCTACTGTATTTAAATTCTTTACCCAGAGTAGACTGAGTGGCAACAACTTATGTTTTATCATTTTTTAATAAGTTAGTAGAAAAACGTTGCTGTGAGGTTTTTTATAGTTTATAAAAATTACCTTTAGCAATTACAAAAACAAAACTATCGTCTTTTATAAATTGCATGGTTAAATATAATAAGATATATTAGCTATGCTATTCTTGGTGATTGGAGAGACCTTTCCATTACTGAAAAATTCTGGTAAATACCAAATTATATCAGCATATCAAAAATCCCCTACTATCTTAACATATGCAAGGCAAATAAAAGATATCAAGAATTTTTTTGTATTTAGAGTATGTAAATTGCAACACACACAGCTGTCAAACTGGAATATTAAATGTAACTTACATATCCCCGGAAGAAAATGGTGGCAGTATGCTTCTACACAGATTACAGCCTGTGAACTATATAGGACAATTCTACGGTAAAACTAAATCATAATCAGACTCCGCTCTACAAAGGCAAAAGATATTTTTTCAGGATGGTATCTACAGCATCCCCTAGTAATAATAGTTAAAGGAGAGCTTATTAATCTGAACCCAAAAAATCTAGATCTAAATTATAAATGATGTAGCTATCAATGACATAGCTGTTGATATAGATGCAGAAACAGATATATCAAGAGGAAGCTAAGACTGTCTGCTCCAACAGAGACTGACAGCATCAGTAATCTTCACATAGAGTCACCGTGAGTCAGACTTACTAGACGACAGTAGATGACAGCCTTAACCAGCTGAAATTGGCCACACAAGGCCGATTACTCTTATTTTATAATGTA